AACTTCAAAAAGATCTCACAAAACTAAGTGATTGGGCAACAAAATGGCAAATGAAATTGAATGTGGATAAATGTAAAGAAAAAAATAACCCCAACTATACATACAATATGATGGGGGCTAATTTAGCTACAACGAATCAGGAAAAAGATCTTGGAGTCATCATGGATAGTTCTCTGAAGATGTCCATGCAGTGTGCAGCGGCATTCAAAAAAGCAAACAGGATGTTAGGAATCATTAAAAAGGGGATAGAGAATAAGACGGAGAGTATCTTATTGCCCTTATATAAATCCATGGTACATCCACATCTTGAATACTGCGTACAGATGTGGTCTCCTCATCTCAAAAAAGATATACTGAAAAGGTTCAGAGAAAGGCAACTAAAATGATTAGGGGTTTGGAATGGGTCCCATATGAGGAGAGATTAAAGAGGCTAGGACTTTTCAGCTTGGAAAAGAGGAGACTAAGGGTGGATATGATAGAAGTATATAAAATCATGAGTGATGTGGAGAAAGTAAATAAGGAAAAGTTATTTACTTGTTCCCATAATACAAGAACTAGGGGCCACCAAATGAAATTAATGGGCAGCAGGTTTAAAACAAATACAAGGAAGTTCTTCTTCACACAGTCAACTTGTGGAACTCCTTGCCTGAGGAAGTTGTGAAGGCTTAACAGCGTTTAAAAGAGAACTGGATAAATTCATGGAGGTTAAGTCCATTAATGGCTATTAGACAGGACGGGTAAGGAATGGTGTCCCTAGCCTCTGTCTGTCAGAGGGTGGAGATGGATGGCAGGAGAGAGATCACTTGATCATTACCTGTTAGGTTCACTCCCTCTGGGGCACCTGGCATTGGCCACTGTCAGTAGACAGGATACTGGGCTAGATGCACCTTTGGTCTGACCCAGTACGGCCGTTCTTATGTCTCTCTCTTTGTCCCAAGAGGGAACAACAAACAAAGAAAGCATGAACAAAACCTCCCCCTGCTCAGATTTGAAAGTATCTTCTTTCCTTATTGGTCCTTTTGGTCAGGTGCCAACCAGGTTATTTGAGCTTCTTAACCCCTTACAGGTAAAGGAGGGATTTTATGCTACCATTAGCTGTATGTTTATGACAAAAGTCCACTGGAAAAAGTGAGCTAGGTGACCTGGTGGCTCCCAAGAGCTTTGGCTAAAATACCTGATAGGAGATGAAGGAAATTCGATACTCACTGTGGGACAAAGTCATGTTGGGATTTTAACCTAGTCATGTGAGAGAGAAGCTGTCACAGTCACAGTGATTGGCTGCTCCTCAAAGAGGAGAGAGAGGCTAAAATGCCCAGCAAAGGGAAGAGGCATTGAACATGTGTCCTTTGGTGCATCCGGCTGA